ACTAAACTATTAGATTGCTGGAAAAGTCATGACGTATTTTTTCTGTTCTTCGTTGCAAAAATGCGTCATGACTTTTCCATCAACTCAGTATTTCCTTAACTCAGAAAATGAAAATAATGGAATTGAAGTCACCCATCTACATACACTCACACACAGTCACACGCACGCACACTTGCACACACCCACACACACATGCACACGCGCTCGCGCTCACACACACACACACACTCACATACACACACTCGCGTGCTCACGGCTTTCTCCCCACCGCTGGGGTCATTCCACACACACTGCTCGTATCCTGCTTTCTTCACTGACATTATTATGAACATTGAATATCTTCTCATATCATCAAATATTCTCCCACGAAAATGACTTCTGCTTTTTCCTGTGACAAATGACAGTGTGTGTGACATTGTTGTCCATAAACCTCCCGGCTGTCAGAGTCTGAGAATTGCACTTGGTTGCACCCTCAGACATCCCACACCAGTTCGCTCAGTTTGGCTTTGACTGTGTCAGGAGGCCAGCGGTGCCCGTGTACCCAGTGTCTAACATGGGTACTTCGGGCCGTCCCTGGAAGGTTTAGGAGGAAAGCAGATAGGTGGGTGCTCCTCCAAGGACATGAGAATGGAGCGAGCCTTTGGGTTTGGTGACGGCTGCACAGTTAGCTGGGGTGGGGCTAAAGCTGTGCTCTCTGACTTGATTTCACTTGATTTCACTCGGCTGCGCCAGAGGGGTGGGTGTGTCCCCTTTGCCTGTCTCTTCACTTTATGAATCATCCTGTGTTGTAAACAGTCAGAGACCCAGCTATCCCCGATTAATCCAGATGTGTTCTTCTTTAAAACAAATGTTTTTTAAACAAAACCACGTTGAAAGATATGAAAGAAGATTTGAACCAATGGGAAGAAAGTGCATGTTCGTGCATCGGAAGACAACGTGGCAGTTCTCCCCAAATAGACCCACAGATTCAACGCCAGGCCCGTGAAAAACCCAGCTGCCTTCTTTGCAGAAATTGACAAGCTGAGACTAAACTTCAGATGAAAATTCAGGGGACTCAGAATAGCACCGAAGAACAAGGAGACAAAACAGAACGACTTGGGCTTCCTGATTCCAAATCTTACTGCGTAGTCGCAGCAACGAAGCAGTGACAGTGGGGTGTTGGCATCAGGACGGACACACAGATGGGTGGTGAGACCAAGAGTCCAGAAATACCCCCTCCATCTCCACTGCGTACCCGTAAATTCAACAACTTAGATGAACTAGACAGGTTCCTTGAAAGACATCAACTACCAAAGCTCAGTACAAAATAGAGTCTGGACCATCTTATGCCCATTAAAGGAAGTGAGTTTACAGTTTAAAACCTCCCAACAAAGAAAGGAAAGCTCAGACCCAGAGAGTTTCACTGGCAAACCCTGCCAAACCCTTCAGGAAGAACTGGCACCAGTTCCGCACAGTCTGTTGCAGAAAACGGAGAGGGGGGAGTGTTCCCAGTTCACTGCACGATGGCAGCCAAACACCTTGCAGAATAAACAGCCACGGACCCCAAATCCTCAACATGATTTAACAAGTCAGATGCAGCGGTGTGTAAAATGGATAGTGCTCTGGTGACCAGGTGGATTCTGTCCCTAGAGTTGAGCCAGGGTTTTAAAAATTAGTCATGTAATCGAAGTATCGATGGAGTAGAGAAAAAAAACATATGATCATCTGAATAGCTACAGAAAAAGGACTTGACAGAATTCAACAGCCATTCGTGATAAAAATGCTCAGCAAACGGAATAGTAGGAAACTTCCTTACCTTGACAGGGCACCTGCAAAAACCTACAGTTGGCATCATTCTTGTTGGTAAAAGACTGAAGTTTTTTCTCTAACTCAGGACTAAAGCAAGGACGTCTGACCTCCGTTTTCCTGTTCCACGTCCTACCTGCCGTCCTACCCGGTGCAGTGAGACAAGGAAAGGAAATAATGCATACAGGTGAACAGGATGAGATAAAACTACCTCTGTTCACAGACAATATTAACTGTATACACACAAAATCCTAAATAATCTGCAAAATGCTACTAGATTGAGTTTAATAAGATTGCAGGATACAGTCATTATACAAAAATCGATTGTATTTCTATAAGAACAATTGGAAACTGAAATTAAACCAGTTACAATAGCACCCCCAAAAAAACATGAAATATTTAGCTATAAACAACAACAACAATGCATGCAAGATCTGAACCCTGAAAACCATGGAACACTGATCAGAGAACTCAAAGAAGACCTGAGCCGGTGACGGCCATGTTCACGGCTGAAAGACTCAATCCTGTTCTTCCCACACTGATGTCTAGATCGAGAGAACCTCAACCAAAGCCCCAATAGGTTTCTTTTTAAATTGACAAACCTATTCTAAAATCAATGGTCTTCCCCAAAGAAACTAAAATAACCAAATGTTTGACATAGAACGAGGTCGAAGGGCGCATGATGTCTGGTTTCAAGACGTGGTATAAAGCAGAAGTCATCGAGACATGTGAATTGGCTGACGGGACATGTAGATCAATAGAAGGGACTAGAGTCCAGAAATAGACCTACATCAGTGCGTTGATTGATTTTCATCACAGGTGCCAAGAAAGTTCAATTTGATGGAGAGAGGACGGACTTTTCAACAGGTGGTGCTGTAGCAATTGGATGTCCATCTGCCAAAAAAAGGGTCTTGGTCCTTCCTGACACCTGATACAATAGCCAAGTCACAGCCCTAAATGCGAAGCCTAGAACTGTGAAGCTCTAGATCTTTCTGACCTGGGGCTAGGTGACGGTTTCTGTCATAAGACACAAGGCACAAGCCATGCTAGGAAAAAATGATAAACTGGTAAATTAATAACTGTTAAGAAAATGAACACACAAGGCACAGACCAAAGAAAAAAGTGGTAAATCACATACTTGAAGTCAGTCATTCAAGAAGGGTGAATTACCGCTAAGAAGACACCACCACACATCTACAAAAATGGCTAAAATTGTAATGTGTCCACACCAACGTCCGGCTATTTCTTTCAAGTTAAACACACGCTCTTCTCCCAGACACCCATCCTGGAGAGCTGAAAACGTATGTTCATTCTAAAACCTCTGTGAATATCTTAGTGGTTTTTTTCATAATCACCACAAACTAGAAACTGCCTGATGAACAAATCGGGGGGGAGCCGAATTTAAGCCAGACTTAAAATCCATTTACACAACATTCCGGAAAGGGCAGAACAAAACAACAGGACGGAACACGGGTGGATGCAGAGCCCATCTCCTCGGCGGGTGGTCACGTGACTGTCAGCACTCGTCAGAGCTCTGAACTGGGCCCCAAGGGGTGACATTCCGTGCATGTCAGCTGTCTCAGTCAGCCTGACACTGAAGACATGTCGTAAGCAGGAAAACGCCCACGCGCAGGGCTTTTCACCCGGCAGTGCTGTACCTGGAAGGGTACCCATCAGCTGTCACACGTGTCCGTCACATCAGCACCGTGTCGCTAGGGCCTGTCCTCCCTACACGGGCTGCTGCCCTCTGACCTCATTGTCTAGGGGGGCGCGTTGTTGTTTGTTAAGTAAATGACGGGAAAAGTGGTAAAACGTGGCCAGGTGAAAAGCCAGCACAGGGCACGCTTGTTTGAACGTCGTCCCCTGAGAACCGCTTTGTTTGAGGCCCGAAGTCTGAGAACTTAGCATCGCATCAGCGGCCCCTGCGGGCCTGACTCCCATCTGCCTTTGTCAGCCTTTTCCCATCTTGATAGTCATGACCTGTTTTGGATTTTATCCAGAGCACCTTGAACTTCTTAATTCGGAGGCACTGAAAGTAAGACGCAGCTCCCCGAGTCACAAGTCCCCCGTATGCGGGTTTGGACCACATGGCACTGGCCCAGACTGCCGCTGTCCGGAAGCCCGGTGGGGACCCGGTACCTGTGCCTTGAGCCCCATGCCGCTCCGCACAGGCGAGGAGACGCCCCATCAGCTCTCAGGGCCACGTCTCCATGGGACAGTCGGAATTGGTTTCTCTCTGAGCAGAAGCCAGGAGTGTTAGGAATGCACGCGTGTCACGATCCTAACCGTGTCACACTATTCCCGACACCCACACCCTCCCGCTCTGTTAGAGGGCAGCTGGGCAGAAGCAGGGTGTGGGTCCTCTTTCTCTCAGAAGCTTTCTTAGCTGAAGAGAGATGGGTGGAGAGGAGACAACACAGTGGATGGTTCCGACGACTGCTGAATGGGAAACTTAATAGCTCCGTTTGGCCCCGACCTGCATGGCAGTTGTCACATCCCAGCCGTCCGCAGCCTGCTCCTTTCCTAGGCATCTTCTGTTTTCTCCTCCTCCTCATCTCTCTCCATCCGCCCACTAGATGCCCCAGTTCCCTTTGGCATCAGAGAATAAAGGCACAGCCTCTGAGCGAGCCCTGTCTCCTGACTTTGCATTTTAAATGTGTGACGTGTCGGCCTCCCCCCGAGGGCTGGTTCAGCTCTGGCTGTGTGTCCCCTCCTGCAGAAGTCACACCCACATCCTTGTCCCTGCACCTCACCTCTCAAAAGCATCTTGTCCGTTTTGAGAGCCACCCACCCTGTTCCTTGTCACACAAGGCTGCAGCCTCCACCTCCACAGCTGGGCCCTGAGGAGCAGGGCAGCGCGCAGCCCGCGGGGTCTGGGGGTCCTAGGTGTCCGCGCCCCAGTCAGCCCTCCACCGGTCCCCGGTCTCGGAGCCACCCGGGCTGGTGGGGTGCAGATGACTCCCCAGCACAGGGAGGAGGCCAGGCGGTCCTTCCCGACCCCTCAGCTGGTGGCCGTCAGCGGGGTGGCCCTGAGCACCGCAGGAGCTCGGGGGACAAGCTCCTGGAGCCCCCGCACTCTGTACCTGGCAGTGGGCGTCGGGCACGCCAGCCAGACCCGAGGACCCGCGTTCTACAGCATGTGGGAGGAGGAGCCTTTTTTGGCAGACGGTTATTTTTAGTTGCTGAACTTAATTTTGGTGTTTTTGTTGCCACAGATCCCAGAAGAACACGACCTGGAGAGCCAGATCCGCAAGGAGCGCGAGTGGCGTTTTCTGCGCAACGCACGCGTCAGGAAGCAGGCGCAGCAGCTCATCCAGAGGGGTGAGGGCCGGGGGCGGGGGCGGGGGCGGCGGCAAAGCCCTGCGGGGTTCCCTCCAGCAGAAGCGCCCCGTCTCCCACAAGCCTGGCCTCAGGTTTGACGTTTCCAAAGGGGAAGAGCCAGCCCTCCCCGGGCTCTGGGGTCCCTGACTCGAGGGCCCTGTGTCCTTCCCCTGGGGACAGATGACAGGCACAAAGACGGGGCCCCGGCGGTGCTGAGCTGGCCCCCACCTGTCCTGGAAATCATCGCTGTCTCTGTCACCCAAAGCTGGATTTCAGTCACATTTTCAGCAGCCCTTTTACCAAATTTGCCAACAGGTGCCAAACCGCCCCCTTGCACGCCACCAGCCTCCCCGGGTGAAGCGGCAGGGAGGATACAGGTGTCAGCATCCGAGAGGATGCTGGGCCCCAAGCCCATCTTAGCTGCAGCCGACCCCAGTGACGGAAGGGGGTCGGTCAGGCTGGGTCCAGCGGGAGCGGGCAGCCTGGCCCCAGGGCCTCGCCCTGCCTCTGGGAGGGCGGGTGGACATCACGGACAGCTCCTTCCGCAGTTTTGCCCAAAGAGAAGTGGGTGGACTTACGTCTCCTGCAAGGTGGTCCGCGTGGCTTTAATCACTGCCGGACCCCACACAGAGCTGCCCCGGTGACAGGCGCTCTCAGAGTCACAGCGTTGAGAGGCCGATCTCTGTGGGATTTAGGCCCACGGCTGGGACAGCAGGACAGCAGTGTCCCTGTGCCTGTGAGAGCCCGGAAGCTGAGCCTCGAGGCAGATGGCCCCAGCAGCCACCAGCCAGCACTGGGCCAGGCATTCGAGAAACAACCGGTTTTCTTGGCCAAAACAAAACCAAAGTCTTTGTAAACCAGCCTTTGTGATAAAAAGAGGCCTGCTTGTCAAGCACCCGCCCAGAGGAGCCGCTGAGCTGCTGGAATGCTGGCGAGTGAGACTGATGTGGAAAGCTGGGCGCAGACAGACAGCACGCACGGAACGGGCATCAGCGAGACCGACTGCCTCGGTCACCCACACGCGCAAAATCGGAACTCCGGTCATGTTTTATTTTTATCTGAGAGCCAGCTGTGTACTGGCAAAGAGATAAACGAGAAAAACAGGAAGTCGTGCTTGTAGATCGAGCAATGACACCGCCCACGTGAGCGTCGGCCGAGACCCGAGTTGGGAAAGTCAGTGACGGCTTTTGTTAGCCCCTGAGCCCCTCACCCGTGGGCTGTCATGCACGATATCTGCATAAATGCAAAGTGCGTTTGCTGACTTAAGAATCTAGGGGTCCCTCACCTTTCAATGCTCGACGTCACGCAGCCATCCTGGCTCCCTTCAAAGAAACCAGAGCTCGGTGAGGCCTCTCCAGGGCGCCAGCCTGCCGCCGCCGTTATGACCTCTGGGCCCGTTGCCTATGAGTCTAATTCCCGTGCTGTCATCCCGTGGTTGGGGCCAAAGGGACGTGGTGAGGGGCCGAAATCATCAGTAAGCTCAGTGCCCAGCGCAGCGAACACCGCAGAGACCTCTTTGCAGCACCCCAGACCTGTGTTCACAGCCAAGGGGGAGTTTGCATCTCTGACGCTCTCCTGAGTGACGTAGGGGCCTGGCCAGACCCCCTGGCGAGCGTAGGGGGGGCTGCTCGCCCTCCCCCCTCTGCAGGGGGAGGAGCCCTGGGCACGTGTCAGCTGAGTCAGCCTTACACTGTGATTCACCAAAAATGTCTCTAACCTGGCCCGATGCTCTTTGCATTTTTAGCCTCTTTTTATTGTTCTTCTGAGACAAACTTGTTTCCTGGGTCAGGACTCGGGGTCTGGGACAGAGCCACACGCAGCTTCTCTGTGAGTCTGTGACTCTCCGTCCCTCAGTCGTGTCAGGTCATAGCCGCACCTTTCCAGACTGAAAGACCCCCGGGACTTCGGGCGGACCATCGATGGTGGTGGCTGTGCCCCACGTTTCAACCTGGAGCCTAAGTGACAAATCACAGCCAGCAGCTTTCCTCCGACATCTTCAGTGCTTTCTTCATAAAATCCGAACCCACCGCAGTGCCCTCAGTCTTGCTGCTGTGTTGTTGCAATGCACACGTTGGCAAGCTTGGCCAAAAACTTACTATGTGTCACCTTGTGCGGGAGCTCAGGGGTCCAGGCAGAGGCAGGGACCCTGCGGCCGGGGAGCCTGGGCCCTCACTCGGGCCCCTGTTTGTTTCCTGTGTGCCCCTCCGAGTCCCCAAACACGAGGTCTGGGCGTCGGCCTCGGAACAAATCCATCGTCCCTGTTTTCTGTGAATTGAGACCCTCATTTGTTTCTCTGGGCAGGCATCACCAGACTGGACGACCAGATATTTCTGAATAGGAACCCCGGCGTCCCCTCCGTAGTCAAGTTCCACCCCTTTACACCGTGCGTGGCCGTCGCTGATAAAGACAGCATCTGGTACGCGTGGGGCCGGGCGGGACTTGCGTTTCAGTGGGCTGGCGGTTAGCCCTGGTGGTGCGAGCGCCCCCGCTGCCTTCCCGCCTTCCTGGCTCCCAAGCTCTGTGGGCAGCTGCCGTTGGAAGGGCCTGAGAATATGGGGAGAAATGCCCGTTCCCCTCTCCTAGTGCCCCCCCACCCAGTGTTACTGGAGGCCGGCCAGGGTCCCAACCACAGGTGACGGGCCGGGTTACGGACTGGGCCGTGGTGGGAGCTTCTAGTATTAAGACAAGGCTGTTCCCACGTAGTGAACAGAACGCACACCACAGGCTCCTCCGAGCCACGTGTGACAGGTGCGCGTGGTCCGTTCTCGTTGCCACCGCTGCAGAAGCAAGCGTGTTAATAGAAGACAGCCGGTGTTATTTGTAACGATCATGGCCCTTATGTCCTGGAGGAAATACTCACTTTTTTTATTATGGCGAAGTACACATAACAGAATTTACCATTTTGACCATTTTTAAGTGTCCAGTTCAGTGGCATTAAGTACGTTCACATTGTACCATCACTTTCCATCTCCAAAACTCTTATTTTGCAAAACTGAATCTCTGTCTCGGTTAAACACTCCCCTCTCCTCCACCCGGCAGCCTCCTTCCTGCTTCCTCTCTGTGTGAACGTGACTCCTTGAGGGACCGCGAATAAGCAGTCACACAGTGCTTGTCCTTCGGTGACTGGCTGATCTCACGGAGCACAGTGTCCTCGGGACCCATTCATGTGGCCGCAGGTGTCAGGATTTCCTTCCTTTTTCAGGCTGAGTCATACTCCGTTGTCTGGAGAGACCACGTCTCATTTATCCGTTCATCCATCAATGGACACTTGGGCTGTTTCCACCTTTTTTTTTTTAAATAATATGATCAGGTTTTATTTTTTAGTTGTTTTTTTTTTAATATGGTCGCTTTTAACACGAGTTAAAGGAAAGCAAAACATAAACTAGGATAAAGTCTACCTTGTTTACTTGTTGAGTTGATTTTGTTGGAAAAGGAAACAAAGTTAATTACAGTGGCGTTATTGAACCTATGATACCTGCCGTGGGACAGCACATACTTGGTCCCAGAGGGGCTAGATTTGACCTCAGCTTCCAATTTACTTCCGGCTACTTGTATACTTGTATTTAACAGCACCCTTTAAAGTAGAAACAGAAATTGTATTTAAGATTCTGTAGACAATCATTTATTCTTAGTAACTAATGTAGCAGCAATAAGTAATGTTGTTTAGCTGCGTAGTATCTGCCAGGCACGTTGCTAAGTCCTGTGTATGAGTTTATATCCATTTCATTGTTACAACTTGTTTCTGCCTTTGGACTATTGTGAATAATGCCGCTGTGAACGTGGGTGTACAAACCTCTCTCAAGTATCAGCCCAGAAGTGGAATCCTGGATCGTATAGTAACTCTGTGTGTAATGATTCTGGGGACTCCCAGACTGTCCCCCGCAGCAGCGGCACCCTTTGACATCCCCCGCTGCTGTGCACCGGGGCTCGATTTCTGCACATCCGCCCAACACGCGTCATTTTCTGTTTCTCTGAGAGTGGCCATCTTGGTGGGTGTGAGGCGTCACCCCCTTGTGGTTTTCACCCTTTCTCCCTCTTATTCCCTTCAGTTTCTGGGACTGGGAGAAAGGGGAGAAGCTGGATTACTTCCACAATGGGAACCCTCGGTACACAAGAGTCACTGCCATGGAGTATCTGAACGGCCAGGACTGCTCGCTGCTGCTCACGGCCACAGGTGAGTGGCCGGGGACCTCAGCCTGGTTGCAGGGGACAGGGGACAGACATGAGACCCCATCTCACACTCGTACCATTTCTTCTGGCAAAGGGGACTGGTCACAAGAGAAGACCACCGTCATTAAGGGGTTAGGAGGCCGCTGAGGGGAAGGGCTGCCCCCACAGATATTGGGGGGAAAGCGAAGTGACCAGTGTCAGTCAGTGTCCTGGGGACTGCGTGTCTTCCTCTGGGACCCGGCCCTTCCCTGACCAGAAAAGGCACCATCAGTCTCCGTCCCTCCAGCCTTTGCGAAGCCCACAGAGCGAGGCCAGTGGACCTCGGGACCCAGAGAAGGAGGGAGGCGGGCCCCCCGGGACACGTGCCGGGGTCTCCAGCCGCCTCGCATCCACCCCTTCCTCTTCAGGTCAGGCCCCCTCTTCTGGCAGTCAGCCTTACGACCCCTCGGCCGTGGTTTGTGACCAGCAGTAGGTCTCAACGGTTTTTTTTTGGTCCGAAATGTTGTCATTTCGCCCTCACTCTTGAGCCCTCATGTTCTAAGTCAGCCAGCCTTGGTTAACACGCTTCACCGCGGCATTGTAAAGACGTGATGTCACTTTCTTGCTGATAGGAAGTCGCTGTCAGTCTAATGGTGCCTCTTTCAGAGATGACAGACATTGGGGGGGGGTCAGGGAGAAGGGGGAGCAGAGTGAGAGAGAAGCCACATACAACGCCAGGAAGAAGGCAGGAAGGACACGGGGACCCCGCTCCCCTTGTCACCCATCTGCCGAGGACACCAGGGCCACTTCCCCCGTGCTAAGCGTCGAAGGCAGGGAGGACTGTCCTGCCTGTCTTCTGACCTGGACAGCCCGCAGACCGAGGTCACGACTAGCGTGAAGGTCCCCTGTGTGGAGCACAGACGGGACATGGGAGGGAGTGACAGGCACTGAAGGCCTTGTCCCTTCGTGAGATTGGTTGTTCTTGGCGTGAGATGTCAGTACAGGGAGGACAGGGAAAGTGGCCGTGGGAGAAGCGGGGCCCATGCCCGCCTTTGCCCGCGGCCCCTCCCCACTGCCCAGGTATGAGTGCGGCCGGGCCTGGGTTCTGACTGCCCTCTCTTTTCTCCCCAAGATGATGGCGCCATCAGGGTCTGGAAGAATTTCGCCGATTTGGAAAAGAACCCAGAAATGGTGACCGCTTGGCAGGGGCTCTCAGACATGCTGCCAACAACCCGAGGTGTGTCTTCCCCGGGGGCTAAAGGAGGATCCGGGGGGGCTGCCAGGAAGGGGGCTGGAAAGGGGCCTGGAGAGAGGGGGACCCCGCGGCTCCACCGTGACAGCTCCTGCAGGCCGCTCAATTCATTCCGATTCCGGAGCCGTGAACCTGCCGGCTTCCCTAATTCGCCTCCAGGCGCTTCGCCTGGGAGACTCACAGTGCGCGCTGGTGGCCTAGCCAACCTGGGACCTGCCGAGCGCCACCGGCCTGCGTGCACCTCCCCCAGCCCTTGTCCCTGGCTGGAAGCCAGTGTTGCTCGGAAAAGCGTTGCCACTGGCAGGACCTGAGGGCTGTTGGTGCCTAAATTAATTCCCTTGGGGGGCCGAGTGCACAGTGTCACTGACTGTCTGGGCGGGGAGGGGCCGAGTGTGCTCGCCTGGCATGCCCTGGGCTGACAGATGTGCTGGCAGAGTATACTTCTGCTGGGTGGCTGCAGCACCGCCGGGCACAGCTTGCATGCTGCCTGTCAGGTGACATGGCCACTGCTCCACAGCCGGGGTGACCAACACCAGCCTTGCCTGCCGTCCTTCCTGGGGCCAGGGCCGGAGTCGGAAGGGCCCCGTGGTCTCAGCTCCCAGACTCGCTGTCCCAGCAGCAGTTGCCCAGGCTGTCGGGTCAGGCTGTCGGGTCAGGATTTCCAGACACCCACAGCTGGAGCCCTGTCTCCCTTCAGCGTGACCTCAAAGCCGCCGGTGCTGTTGTCACCAGTAAAAGTGCTTACTCGCCCCTCCTGCCAGCCTGGGTTTTCTGCATCCCTGTCCCTTTCCCGTGGCCTCGTCCATGTCCTGTCCTTGCAGAGCCACAGGGAGCCTTGTGGTTGCTCCCTTCCCGTCGGGCAGAGCTCCTGTCCTGGGGAGACACCGACCCTCACGGGGACTTCCTGAGGGAGGGGGCTGCCGGCCGCCTGCACAGACAGCGTCAGGGCAGATGGCTCTTGTATGTTGTTTTTAAAAATGTAGCCATGTTAAGTTTTTTTCAGGAACAAAATAGCCATCCATATGCACCCCCCACTCACCCAACCCCTCCAGGCTGGGTCGGGTGCTGATGTGGGTGACGTGGCTGCAATCACAATGCCCCTCCATCTGTGTGCTGCCTTTTCCCTATTAGAGCAAAAGCCTGTTCTCTGCCCCAGCACCCCCACCCCCACCCACCCCTCAGCCCATGCTGGCAGCTCTGCTGGAGGCTGGGGGCCGTGTGACCCCCGTGGTTTCCTGGATGCTCGCTGACAGACTTCACTGCAGGACAGGTGGCGATGGCCTGAGTCGTCCCCTCAGGACACTTCAGTGCTAAGTTCCTGCTGCCGTCCCCGCAGGCGACACGCCCAGAGCCCGGCCACTTGCCAGCCCCTCCACGCAGGACGCACAGAGACCCATGTGTGGGGCGGGCAGGGGCTGGGCAAGGCCAGAGGAAGGGGGTCGGCACAAACGCTGGTGGTTAAGTTTATTCTTCGTGCAACCGCCCACCTCAGTGTCCCCCCGGATGACACGATGGGGCTCTGAGACTTGCAGAATGGTCTTATCCGCAGTGTGTTTCCCATTGTGTCCATTAGGGTGAGAGGGGCCGTCGGGAGGACAGCCTGCCAGTGTGACGGGTTTGGGGGTCCCGCTGGGAAGAAAAGCAGCCGGGTGAGCGGATGGACAGCACATGTCCTTCCAGCTTGTGAGGGGACCCCAGGTGTCGCCTGGTGTGTGGAGCGCCGCTCCTGGTCCCAGGTGTCCACTGCAGCCCTGGCTGGAGAGTGGCTCCCGCTGTGTACACGTGTTTCCTACCCACACCCCAGCCTCTGCGCCTCGCCCCATTTTTCAGTTGCTGAGGGCCTGTCAGCAGGTTCTGGGGAGGTGGCTCTGTGCGGGCATCCTGCCCTCGCCAACGGCTCAGCCAGAGCTGGCCGGTCACGCCCTCTGCCTTTTAGCCAGGCACAGTGGGCTTAGCGAAAGGGCGGACCCCCTGCCAGCCAGGCGGTGCCTGCCAGTGTCCCAGCCGAGGTCTCCGGGGACCTGAGGCAGAAGGAACAGCCCCCATCCCCCGCTCCAAACGTGTCCCACGGGCACTTGAGCTGAATTTGCCGCACACAGTGCAGTCCCCACCTGCCCCGCCCCGCGGCTCCCCCGGGGACTGCCCGGGCGGCAGCCTCGCAGCCCAGCTCCCTGCAGCTGGAGGCCTGCACAGCCTGGGCCCCCCGGCCCTCAGGTGCCAAGTGCGTGGGGAGAGCTCGTCTCCCAGCAACGCTGGCATGTGGGGCGGTGGGAGAGTGATGTGTCATCGGGCCCAGAGGACCGGCTGACCCGGGTAGTGGAGGGGCGTCCTCACCTTGGAGTTGCCATCTTAGCAGCATCTTTGAAAAGGTTGGACTGTGGTTTGTGACTGAAGAGAAGACCGTCTGCTGCGGTGGCCCCGGCCTGCTCTTCGGAAGTGTTGTAACGTCTGTGCAGGATCTCTGCGTCATCGTCTCAAAATACCTCTAACTCACATGCATATGCGCATGCACACAGGTGCACACTTACGTGCACATGCCTGCACCTTGCGCCTGGGGCCGCTCCTCTCACGGCGCCCCACAGTCAGGAGAACCCAGCCACCCTCGGAGCTGAGCGCACTGGGCTCTGAAGTAGAATCAGTGGTGGGGCCGCCGTCCTCAAGCCGCAGGCCTGGGCAGAGACCGCTGGGGCTGCTCCGGCTGGCTTGGCCGCACTAACCATGTGCAGTTCTGGCCACTAACCTCCCTGAGCTGACCGCACCGTCTCCCCGTGCGAGCGGCCACGCGAACTGCACGTCGGCATTTCTGAGCACTCGGGCATGTGGATGTCGGTGCTGTCAGGTCATGTTTCTCCGAGAGCCACAGACCTCCCGACTTCCCGTCTACAGACAGACCTTGTTTCAGCCCAAACCCCCGTGATTCGCTTTCACATTTGTCAGATGGATTTCTGCCGAGGTCCAGGCTGTCCAGCGAGGCCAGCCCTTGTTCTGAGTGAGCGTGCTGCGCCTGGGCCACGCTGCCCGTGCCTCGCCCTCTCTCTGCCTGGTGCTGGGCAAGCCCTTTGGCTGGTTTGACTTGGGTTGGTGTCTTCTGCCTGCCTGACTCGCCCCTGCGTCAGACCCACAGTCCGTTTCCTCGCAGGCCTGGCCCAAAAGGTCTCCATCGCTCTTGACCACAGTAAGCAGGGAGGTGAGTGCTGTCTCTGCTCCTGTGACCACCCAGGGCCGGGGGCAGGAGCCGGCCTGCTCCTCTGCTCGGTGGCATTCGTTCCCACGCCTGCGGTGCCGTCCAGGGCTGGCAGAGAGTTAGGGCTATGCCTTTTCTTCTTTGTTCCATCCACACGACCCGTCCAACACAAAAAGAAATCAGCCAGTGAGCCCTCAGGCTTCACTGGATGCATCGCCAACGGTGAGGTTCGGGGAGGAAAGCTTCCAGCCACAGAGGGGCTGTCCGTCGTCGCTGCCCGTCCTGGGCCTCCTTACTCCGCAGGTGAGGGCTCGAGCCTGGCCGGCTCCAAAGCCCGTCCCTCCCTCTCTTCTGTGCTGCCCACTCTCAGACTCTTACTGCATTCAAGGGGAGTCCGTGTCCTGTTCCCTCTCCAGGCCACCATCACACTTGCCTAGGAACAGAAAGCAATCCAGGTTTTTTTTGTTTTGTTTTTTAAGATTTTTATTGGGTAATTGGGGGGATGGGAACAGTACTGGGGAATTAGGGGAAGGGGAACAGACGAGTTGCTGTCGTTTTTTGTTCTTCAATCTAGTTGTGGAGGACACTGCTTCACTGGCCCAAGTTGGCACCATCATTGCGCTCTTCCCGGGCGAGGCAGATCAGTCGCCGGCTTCTGGATGGCCGCTCACTGCGGCTGCTGGCCGCTCACTGCGGCTGCTGGCCGCTCACGCTGGCTGCTGGCTACACACGGTAGCCCATGGCAACCCACTGCCACAGCGACTGCAGCCTACGCCGTCGCCAGCGACTCACGGCAGCCCAGCTCCAGGTTGAGCTGTTGTTCAGCATCTTAGCTGTGGAGGGCAGTGTCACTGGCCCTCATATGTGGGATCCGAACCGGGGCCCTCTGGCATCCCAAGCGAGTTCTTAACCATCGCGCCACTCGGCCGGCCCAGTCCAGGTTTAAATCTGCTCGTGAGGATGTCACCATCGCCCCTCACAGGTCCCCGTTCAGATAGGAGGGCCCCACCCTGCAGGCCACAGGGGGCGCTCCGCAGGGGGCGCATGCCAGTTCGATTAGAGCAGGGACATCGGTCCACAGTGAGATTTGTTTTCCCACAGAAACGTTCAAAAAAGAATTTCTTTCAGAATGTAATGCAAAGTCCGTTGCGGCATCCGTTTCCATCTGGAAACTCCGTATGTAAGTTTGATCGTTACACAAAGCCCGCACGCAGCCCCCTCGAATACACCGCAGTGACGCTCAGCAAAGTGGAACATGCAGTGGTCAGGACGGCTAGCCTAGAAACGAAGGCCTTCCAGAGAGAGGTGTCACTGATGTCAGCAAGCTCAGCTGCGGGGAAGCACGGACTCCGGCAGAAGCCTTCGTGGTCCGAGTAGGCGCCGAAGGCCCAGGATGCTGATGAGAAAGGGAAGGGGGCGGTTTCTTCTGTAGAGGGGAAGGCTCCTGGTGCAGAAACAACATAGCGGATGCTGATTCAAAACAGTGTTTTCCGTTTTCAGGCCAGTAGTCATAACAAGTGCTTTCTTGTTACCTTTGCAAACAGTGTTTGGACACAATGTTGCTAAGGCCCAGTCACAGGTTTCTTTGTAACAATACCCTGTTGTAATTCCCAAAGGTTTGAGACATAGGTGGCTCAAGGCAGTAGCAGCTCCAAATGGCTCAGTTATTGTTTTGTTTTGTTATAAAACAAGTCCGTTTTCTCTCTTCATCTCAGTACTTATCTATTAGGTAAATTGTAAAGAGATGGAGTCTTACACAGCCAGGCAGCAAATGTCATACTTGACCTGTAATTTGAAGATTCTGGGTTGACAGTGACCAGCCTCCTACGAACAGCTCGTCCTGCGTGCTTTAGGTGTTGGCTCCGATGCAGCCTGGGGCTGGCAGGGTCCTGCCAGGGGTCCCGGGAGGCAGGAAGCAAGAAGCAAGAAGCTCCTACAGGCTTTTGGACCCGCTTTACTGTTTCATTAAGAGGATTTCTACTAAAAAGTTCAAAATGAGGGGAAATGGTTAGAAAAGAGAAGGCTAGAGGTTGACTTTATCTCCACTCCTGGGCTCCAGAGAGGAAACGCAAACGGCAGGAAGGGGGCCCGCGCTTCGGCAGGCGACGGCGTGGCGATGACAGAGGGTGTCATTCAGAAAGAGGCTACTCGGGCTTAGACAGATGACAGGGCCACTTCCTCTGGAAGCCCAAGGAAAGCCGCAGGGACACCTGTCATAGTTGGGGCTGGGATGGCAGGTGGGAGGCCAAGGGGCCTGTGTTGTCATCTTCAGCTGATCGGTTGGACGTAGGAGTCAGTGCCACAGTGTGGAACAGCAGTGTCCCCCAGGCGTGACCGAGCCCAGGACGGGTCAGGGCCACCCCAGAGACGGATGACCAGAGCGTCCGGCACCAGTGTGTGTGACCGTGAACATCGTCCTGGGTCTCGGGCTGTTTACTCAGTACTGGGAGCATCTAGGAAACTAGAGGGCGGTGATAGCAGAAGGGCGATGACTTTGGCAGGCAGAGTGGCCACGAGTCAGGTGCTGCCCGAGCTGCCAGCCGGCCCGTGCTGGTCCTGACAGCAGTGTCCTGATGGGAGAGGGAGCGGAGGGCGCTCTGGCCTTGCCTGCACTCCTCCGTCCTACAGAGGTCACGGGCGGGTCCAGGAAGGAGCCTGGGGAACACTGCAGAGGGGAGGCCCCCCGGTGCAGGGTCGTAGTGGGGCCTGCCCTTGGGAAGGGGGCCCCCGGGAGGTATAGGCCCAGCGCCAGGCGGGCCTGACCACTAGGGAGCTTGGCGCGCTCCCACCCGGTCCCCTCTGACCCTTTGGGCAGCTGGCACGTGCTCTCAGCTCAGTCTCAGGTGAGAAGCGGAAGTTCAGGTGGAGCCATGTGCTCTGGGGCAGGGTCTCAGGAGCTGTTTTCTGTGCCAGCCTGAGTCTGAGCCTGCCAGGCATCCAGAGGTGCTGGCCCCTCGGGGAGGCTCTGTGTGGGGCTGCCATCCCAGGTCTGGTTCACACACAAGCCTGAGCAGGAGGAGCAGGTGGGGGCTGGCCCCCCCGTCAGAAATCCAGAACCATGACTCCCAGGGGTGTTTCAGGTTGGGGGTGACAGAACCTCAGGGATCAGCTCCAGGTGACGAGGTCCACAGAGGTCAGTCTGAACTGGCCACTTGAGGCCAAAGGGCTGAGTGCAGAGAGTGTGGATGCCCGAGACCCCAGGGCCAGGGACGCTGGGCGACGTGCACTCCCCGCCTGTTATCTGACAGCCATCCCTGCTCCACACATCCATGTTGAAGGAAGAAATTTCTCCTTCGGCAGGTGTGGGACTGGGACATGTGTCTAGGGCGTGTCCAGCATAAAGGCAGGTGGACATTAGGAATCTCTTTGTCCTCGGGGGCACCCACCACCCACCCCCAGCAGTGAGATCGGCTTGATGTGTACATGCAATGTGGTCGCGTGTGTGCCAGGTTTGGTCATTCGCCTGGCTGGGCTGAGGCCTCAGCTTTTAAAAACGTGGGCATGGCCACACACACAGCTCGTGCTCCTGGCTGACACCAGCCGCCTCCCATCAGGCAAACATGAGTTCACTGCATCCTGATGGAGTGGGCGTGGCCAGGAAGCAGCAGGGTGACTCTGCTGGGGGAGCCCACCTGCCCGCTCCCCGAAAACCCAGAAACCAGAGCTGCCCCCAGAGGGCTGACAGGAAGGCCACGAGGCCCATGAAGGCGGGGTGGGCGTGTCCGTTCCCCCGGGCGGGAAGGCAGACACGCTGCACAGCCCGTCTGTAGGGGAGGAAGTGATTGGAAGGCTCCCCTCATTCAAGGTCATGCTATTTGTCTTGTACGAGTTTTACAAATCACAGCCATCCATTTTATTTCTTCTGCTCATCACGTCAAGGAAGAGAGTGTCACCAGTTTGTCATCCTTTAAAACTCACAGTGACTCAGTCACCTCTCCTCTCACCATGTCTGGAAGCTGACACGTGGCTGGGTTGGGAAGGTCTCGGGCGAGCAGGCCAGTGGCTCCGTCCCCTTTCTGAGCAGCAGGATGGGGCCGGGACTCCAGGCCCTGGGAGGACAGGAGGAGCAGGAAGAGCCTTTTAGGAGGAGGTTTGCGGGTGGAGCAGACTGTTATTTGTGTCTCAAGTCTTCACATTTCGATCTGAGCGATTACCTTGTGCAGACAGGGCCCCCTGTCTTAGGCGACATGGCTGAGAAAGGTACTGAGCCCGCGGGGTTCGTCTGGGGACAGAGTGGGTGAGTGAGACTTTCACTGTGTCTAAGACTTGACTTCTCGAAGAAAAAAAAAAAAGAGCAAAAATGGCAAAGTCTTAGCAACGGCTCAGTCTGGGTAGTGGGTACAAAGATCTGTCCTGAGTTCTAAGCAGAGTACCTCCCGGAGGTTTCAGTGCTGCCTTCGGGCATGCTGGAGCCCTGTGCTTCCGTCCAGTCCCAGCCACAGTCACTCCCGCCTTGTCAGCAGGCCCCGCCTCCCGAGGTGGCAGCTGCAGGACCCCATCCATCGCAGGCACCTGCGGTTCTTGAGCGTCAGCCTGGCCAAGACGGGCACAGCTCCACACCTGATGCCCAGTCTAAGGCCGCCAGACCTGCCAGCGTGCACAGGCGTGCTGGAGACAGCATCTCGGACAGACGGCTCCAGGGTGCTGCTGTCCCCCTAGCAGGGATCTGGGGAAAGCTCTGAACTATTGCCCCGACCTGGATTTGGGGTGCACTGGGGGTCCCAGCCTGAGCTCGCGTGGGGTGGGGTGGGGTCACGCTCCTTGGCGCCGGCTGGCTGAGCGGCTGGCTACCCGGCACAGGCTCCCGCAGTGACACGGTGGTGTCTGTGTCTCCCCAGGAGCTGGGATGGTGGTGGACTGGGAGCAGGAGACGGGCCTCCTCATGAGCTCCGGGGACGTGCGAATCGTCCGTATCTGGGACACAGACCGGGAGATGAAGGTGCAGGTAACCACTCTGCCCCCGGCGCCCCCACGCTCCCGCCCACCTCGCGGAGAACCAGGGCTGTGGGTCACTGAGCAGCTGTGACGATGGCAGCTTTCGCAGCTAGGAGGAAAGAGCCAGATGAGGCGGGCCTCGTCGCTGGGGCAGGTGCAGACGCCTGAAGCCGTTAGACGAGTCAGCACGTGACCCGCGACACGGACCCTGGCCCGCGGCGTGGTGAAGCCTGCGCTCACCCTAATTGTTATCCAGTAGTATCTGCACAGACTAGGGGATGCCAGACAGCAGTGGGGCGAAATGCTCCAAATTAGAATGATTATTAGATTGTGTGCTTCTGAAAGTATTATTTCAGTTTTAATAAAAAGAGAGAGCAGTACATTGGCTCTGCCTAAGACCTCCTGGAAAAGCCGTAGCAGCCCGAGGGGAAGCTCAGAGAAACGAGCTCGGAGCGGACAGACGGACACGGTTGTTAGAGCTGCCCCTCCCCCAGCACCCAACCCCCTGCCCCCACCTCACGTCCTCCCAGGCACAGGCGGCTTCATCACACTGCCTTTCAGGGGACTGCAGCCCGCCGGTCAGTGCGGCCCTCCCTGTCGAAGCCGGACAGGGAGCCAGTGACTGCCAGCAGCTTGTCCGTTCCCAGAAGGCACCTTCATAACCGACCGGGGCGCCCACCCCACGCCCCGCCCCCTGCCGGTCCCCTGAGGCCTGGCCTCTCCCACCTCGGAGGCAGTTGACGCCCGTCTCCGTGCACGTGGGTCCCCTCCACGCGTGTGCCAAGCGCAGCAAGGCCTCCTAGGGCTGGAGGAGCTCGTCTCCCCTCTGGGGGCCGTTGTTTGTCTCCTGCTCCTGCCTGCGGAGCTGAGCGTTCGCCCCCCTCCTGCCCTGCTCCAGCCCTGATGGCCACCAGGAGGGCGGGCAGGAGGTGGGGTGTGGGCAGCTGAACTCCTCCCGGGCCCTTTGCAGAGCGAGTTAGTGTGAAGAAGAGCTAATGGCACTCCTTCTGCCCAAAGTACTTCGTCTTTCTTTATAGGAAAGAGGAAGACGTTGGGAGGTTGAATTGGCGCCCAAAGCCCGTCGTTACCAGAGGTGTTTGCTGGGAAGGGTCCTGGGGACCCGGCTCTCAGCCCTGGGGAGCTGGCTCTCAGGTTTGGGGACCCGGCTCTCGGGCCTGCCCTCCCGGCTGGGGACTCCACTGCAGCCAGGCTGCCATGCAAGTGGATGTGGATCTGCCTCAGTCCCACGTGGCCCCTGTGGGTCCCTCAGACCTTTGGCAGCTCCCCTGGGGCAGAAAAGGCAGCAGCAGCAGGTCCCCGGCCTGGGGTGACTGGCACAGCCGAGTGGCTGCACAGGGGCTCCCGGCAGCTGTGAGGGGGCCGGACACCAAGGGGCCTCACCCGTGTCCCTGTGTTCTGCCCTAGGACATCCCCACGGGCGCGGACAGCTGCGTGACAAGCCTGTCCTGTGACTCCCACCGTTCCCTCATTGTGGCTGGCCTTGGCGACGGCTCCATCCGCGTCTACGACAGGAGGATGGCGCTCAGTGAATGGTAATCCAGCCGCGCCCTCCAGACACCAGCGGTCTCGTTGCTACCAGGTTGCTGGTCCCAGATGGAGTGAGACCCCAAAGCCGTCTGGGCGTGCCCCATGGAGGCCTCATTCCCATGAGCCATGGACAGGCCACGTGGAACATGCCCATGGGCCGTGGGGCCGGGGTCCTGGCGAGGCACTGCCTCCCTGAGCTCGGTTTCCCAGGGGTCGTGCCTGTCACCAGACGAGACAGCCGGGGAGCGCACATGAGGGCGCCGTGCAACACTGAGCACGCGTTGTCATGGCTGTTCCCTGGGCCAAGGGCCAGGTGGGACCACAGCCGTCCCCCAGCGCTGCCCCAGGGCTCTGACGGTCCCCTCGCTCCATCCTGCAGCCGCGTCATGACCTACCGCGAGCACACCGCCTGGGTAGTGAAGGCCTGCCTGCAGAAGCGCCCTGAGGGCCACATCGTGAGCGTGAGGTATGTATGAGACATTTGCTGTGGAAACATCATTTTCCCTCCATTTAAAATATGTGCTTGGTATTTAAACAGCTGCAGAATGATGGTATTTCGGGGCAGTAATTAACTTCTGCTCCGGGACTGGTCAGAAAGGTCAGGGCCAGCTCGCAGGCAGGGGCCACATCAGTCCTCCTGCAGGGGACAGCCTCACTGCGGGCCACAGGGGTCTGCTCAACGCAGGGGTGGGTGGGAGAGCCCTCGGCGGGCACAGCACCACCTGCCAAGTGAGCGCGTGGCTCGGGCATCCACCCATAAATCCATTTCTGCTGCCACTAAACACATGCCGAAAGCAGCGGATATTTATTTGCCCATTAAAGGGACAGCAAAATGTAATTCAGTGTCATAGCCGCCGCTTCTTCGAGGAGATGCCCTTCCCCTTGTTCGTAACCTAAAAGCAGAGCACAGGCCGAGGCAGGACAGAAGGGGTCCCCAGGGGCGTGTGCAGCCGCCAGGGCCTCCCCTCCCATCCCATCCCCGCATCCCTGGCTGCACGAAATCTAATCTGGGGCCAGGAAATGAACCAATAACTCACATCCGAGTCTGCCGCCCCTGGCTCTTGGCGGCAGTCCTGGTGGCTGGGCCGGTGGAGCGGGCCCGAGCTGGACACTCGAAGGGTCCAGGCGGCCTCCGTGTGGCCAGTCCTAGAGGCTGGTGTGCCCTGGCCTGACGTCACCGTGACCCTCTCTCGGCAGCGTCAATGGAGATGTTCGCTTCTTTGATCCGCGGATGCCGGAGTCTGTGAACGTCCTGCAGATCGTGAAGGGGCTCACGGCCCTTGACATCCACCCCCAGGCCAACCTGATCGCATGGTACGTGCCAACCCTCTTCTCTGCCCCCCAGAGAAAACGAGGGCCTTCCCTGCCCGCAGTCAGCCTCTGCCTCTGTACGAACCCAGAACCCAGGCGCTCTGGCCCCTCATGCCCGTGAAGGGGAGCGGGGTGGAGCGAAATAAGTGTCCGTGGCTCTGCTGGCCCGGCCCTCCCCCAGCCCCAGGAGAAGGGAACTGACGGCCAGACCTCCTTGTCCACAGTGGCTCCATGAATCAGTTCACCGCCATCTACAGCGGGGACGGCGACCTCATCAACAACATCAAGTACTACGACGGCTTCATGGGCCAGCGGGTCGGCGCCATCAGCTGCTTGGCCTTCCATCCACACTGGGTCTGTGTCCGCACCCGGGCTGGAGGCGCGGGGGGCTCGGGGCGGGGGTCTAGAGCAGCGAATGGGGGGCTCGGGGCGGGGATTTA